GTCCCGAGACAAGCAGGTCGAGTTTTGCCGCTTATTCGTGGACTTAGACCTCAGCCCAGCCCGCTCGCGAGACAAGAACAAGCGAAGTATGCCGTGACACGTGTCAGCCCGCTCGACCTATCAATTTTTATATTTTTTTATTTTGTAAATGGTTTTTGGTCTTTTAATAGTGTTTAAGCACTTAAATTTATATGTAATTAACTAACAATCTGATGAAAAATAATTTTATTATGTAAAATTGTATATTTGTATAAATAGATATGGAGAAACATGGCAAACACAAATATTTTATGTAGTTTGGGGCAAGTCCTACTCTACGGACAACAAGTAATTGTTTTCCACTAGTTTAACAAATACAAGAATAAATTACAATAAACTTTAAGCAAATAAAAATAAAAAACATATGTCAACTTGTAATAGAGAGCACAATCTTCTTCATTTTCTTTGTCTTCCTCCTAAAAGGAAGCCGCACGTCCTCCTTGTAGGCGTTCTTCCACACCCAACCAAAAAAATATAAGAAATTTAGAAAAACATAATTAATAAAATAACAATCTAACCATTATAAGAAATGTAAAAAATAATATTATCAAGTATAATTGTATATTTCTATACTTTAACAAATGAAAATATGGCAAATATGGATGTGTAACTTGGTTCGAGCAAGTCCTACATCTGCAAGCAATAAATAATTGCTTTACTAGTTTTAAAAAAAAATACATGAGCAAAAGAAATTAAAACAAATTTTTGTGATAAAAATGTTTGTATAGGGGCTGTTTGGTTCGTTTCCTAGATATAGGGAAATGCATTTTCATGTACAAAAACACAAGTTTTGAGTTTTCTAAACTTTTCCAAGAAATAGATTGTTTCGCTTTGGTTCGCACAAAAAAATGATGGGAAACCAATGTATTTATTTTTTTTGTGTTTGGTTCGCATGGGGGAAAAGGGAAAACTTTTGTTTATATGGCAAAAAGCCGACGTGGCTGCAGTTTTCGTCGATTTCACAAGGTTGGGGAAGGAATTGGATGAGAGAAAAAAATCTAATGTGGCGGCGATTTTCACCGAGTTTCCCTTCTTTAATCCTAGCGAACCAAAGATGAGGAAAAAAAACCGACGGAAAGCTTATATCCTATGTGGCCACGAAAAATCTGATGTGGAGGCGGTATAAAACTTTTCCACTGATGGGTCTAGCGAGCCAACGCCCTCAGACCTTGCTCGCTCGACGGGCTTCACGGCTCGAGCGAGCTGCTGACCCACATTAGGTTCGGGGCTAACCCATCTCGAACCCGCCGACACGCTGCCGTAGCGGGGCGCAATCTGGCCCGCCCCGGTCGGGCCGAATCGGATCGAGCCCAAATGCAGGGCGAGCAAGCGGGCACATAGGCCGACTCGGCCCAAAGCCCACCCCTAAATATGATGTTGCTTGTTAGGTACAGCTGTTCCGAGCCCAAAACAATTCACGCAAGGTAGAGTTCAGTTCTAATTTTCTCTGGAATTGGATTTGTGTGAAAATTAAAAAAAAACAACAACTAGGAATTGAATATCTAAGATCGCATCTTGTACGGGATGTTGTTGCGAACAGAAGATAGTAATTAAAGATGAAGTAAAGAGGGATATATATAAACCATCAAATCAAGGGAATGTCAGCACCATGAAGATACGATATTATCCTTGTAATAAAGGCACGATGGTGATATCTCCATCTCCTTCAAGATCATACGGGATGCAAGAGAGATCAAAATGGCCCAAGGACACCAACAGAGACAAAAATTAAAGCCCCCCTCCAAAAAAAAAAAACGTACCAACTGCAACCCATATTAGCTGCAACCCATATTAGCCTCTGGCCCTATGAAAGTGAAGGTGCATGTGAGCATTGAATTGCTCCCCTACGTGCCTCTAATGGGACCCCTGAGATGGATACTGACCTCATGACTGCAGGACTGCAATAACTAAATGGGGACTCATCTATGATTCTCTGAACTCTCTGTAGGTATAATTGACCTCAATTGGAGCGCCTGTAGCCTGTTACTGAGCAACGTTCTCTGCTTGCTAACCGCAAAAGTCCTAACTGCTCATCAGAGGGCCTCTTGTCTTTTGTGCCCTTCATTTAATACACCCCCTCTGTATCCATGAATTGTAGAAAGTAGAAGTATAAACCTTGCTTCTATTTCTATCGCAAGTCCATACAACTGGATTTTCTTCGATATTCTAAGGAGGTGTTGGGCTCACCCATTTTATTGAAAAGTTTTTCGAAAACATCTGACGATGATATTTTTATAAATAATGAACTTTTGTAGATTTCTATAAACTGTATTTGGTTAAAAAAAATCTCATAAGAAATATTTTCTATAAAGTAGGTAAATGAGAGTGTTTTATAGAAATCAACTTCCTCCCCAAATGGGAGGAAATTGCCTAGAAATTTGATATTTGTATTAAAAAATAATCAAGTACACACGTACCCTATTTCTCCGCTCCCTTCCCATGGGCATTTGTGAGCGAAAAATTTCAGAACGTGTATTTTCTATAAAGTGAAATCCGACCAAACAAAGAAATAACAAAAATAAGAAAAATAATACTCCTTGAGTACTAAAAATTTTTCCTATAAATTTTCATAGGAATACAAGAAATTAAATTTTGGGCATTTTTCCTTTTCTTTTTCCCTTTTTTTATAGAAATCGAACCAAACAGTCCCTAAGAGTGGATACTATGCTCTCAGCTGTGGATTTTAAATGTCCATAATGTTGTGCGCGGTGGAAGCTTTCTAGGGCAACACGAACAATAACTTGAACTAAACCACAAATAATATGCAAACCACAATCACAGCAAGAACAAGAATTTACGTGGTTCGGCAAGTTGCCTACGTCCACGGGGCAAGGAGGGGGGAGTTCTTTCTACTAGAAATCAAGAGAATACAAATAGGGTTACAAATCTCTCAGACCAAACCCTAAAACAAAGCTCTAGATCTCTCAAAGCTCTCTCACAATTGGATGCAATGATTCTCTCTCTTTGGCTGCTCAAATTCGTCCAACCTCTACCCTAAACAAACAGGTTTAGGTATATATAGAACTTACAAAACGAATCGGGTCGAAAACCTGAAAGCCCAGCCCAAAACAGCGTCGGTCGACCGGACCGGTCGACCGCGATCAATTCCGGTCGACCGGCCCGGTCGACCGACCAGCTCTCAGTAGAAAACCCAAACTCCAGAGAACCCCTCGGTCGACCGCACCGGTCGACCGACCACCTTCCTGACGCACAGTAAGCTTTGTGCACGAATGCGGTCGACCGGACCGGTCGACCGCCGCCTGGTTTGCCTGATTCTTCTGAGTTTCTGTAATTTCTTCAATTCTCCACCTCGGCGAATGTTTCCTCCAAAAACTGAGCCGACACCAAAACATCCAATAGTTCCTCAACAAGTTCAGGAACAATACTAGAGCTGAAACGCGATCTCCCCCCCCATCTGAATCAACTGATCAAACCGGCTGCATCTGAAAGACTGCCTACGTATCCTCTTGCCCAAGGAATCAAGCCGAACGTAGTTCATATTAATGGCCTCCAAAGGCCTCAGCACTGAAGGATGTTCAAAATCTTCAAACAATGACTAAATTTTACTCCTAAAACAACTTTGGTCAACATATCTGCAGGGTTGTCATTTGTGTGGACCTTCTCCAATATGACATCTCCATCATCCAAGATGTCCCGTACAAAGTGGAATCTGATGTCGATGTGCTTCGTGCGCGCATGATAAACCTGGTTCTTCGCCAAATAGATAGCCGACATACTATCACAATATATCCGAATAGTCTCCTGAGTGATCCCCAAGTCCTCCAATAATCCACGCAACCATAAAGCCTCCTTAATAGCTTCAGTAACTGCCATATACTCTGCCTCTGTAGTAGAGAGAGCCACTGTGGACTGAAGCGTGCAACGCCAACATACAGGTGCACCTGCCAATGTAAAAGCATAACCTGACGTAGACCGGCGTTTGTCAAGATCTCCAGCATAATCTGAATCCACATAACCAATACAAGCCTGCCCGTCCTTCTCATCCTTCTGAAACACTAAACCAACATCCACGGTGCCTCGAACATACCGTAGAATCCACTTCACGGCCTCCCAGTGACCCTTCCCGGGGTCATGCATGTATCTCGATACCATGCTCACGGCCTGTGACAAATCTGGCCTCGTACACACCATCGCATACATCAAGCTACCTACTGCACTAGCATATGGGACCTTCGACATATAATCTCTGTCCTCAACTGAAACAGGTGACATCAACGCTGAAAGCTTGAAGTGGGGAGCCAATGGTATGCTAACTGCTTTTGTATTGCCATCAAAGTTGAATTTCTTCAACATCTTCTGCAAGTAACTCCTCTGTGTAAGCTTCAATTTCCCCTTCACCATGTCTCGCTCGATCTCCATACCCAATATCTTCTTTGCCTCTCCAAGATCCTTCATCTCAAACTCGGATGATAACTCCTCTTTCAGCTTTCGAATAGACGAAGAATTCCTGGAAGCAATAAGCATATCATCAACATATAAAAGCAAATATATGAGCTCACCATCCTGTAGCTTGTGCATATAAACACATGGGTCATATGGGCTCCTCGTGTACCCTCGGCCAATCATAAAGCCGTCGAATCTCTTATACCATTGTCTTGGTGACTGCTTCAAACCATAAAGAGACTTCTTCAGCTTACAAACCAAATTTTCCTTTCCTGCAGCTTTGAAACCCTGTGGTTGTGTCATGTAGATCTCCTCATCTAAATCTCCGTGTAGAAAGGCTGTCTTCACATCCATCTGGACCAAATCCAAATCCAAATCCAGGCTGTCTTCACATCCATCTGGACCAAATCCAAATCCAACTGTGCCACCAACGCCAATAAAATCCGAATCGACGAATGCTTCACAACGGGTGAAAATACCTCGTTGTAATCAATGCCCTCAAGCTGTGCATATCCCTTGGCAACCAATCTGGCTTTGAACCTTATGTCCCCAATAGAAGATCCCTCCTTCTTCGCATATACCCACTTGCAACCAATAGCTTTCTTACCCTTAGGTAGCTGTGCAAGTGTCCAAGTATCGTTCTTCTGAAGAGACCGCATCTCCTCCTTCATATTTCTTACCCTTAGGTAGATGTGCAAGTGTCCAAGTGTCGTTCTTCTGAAGAGACCGCATCTCCTCCTCCATAGCTTCCCTCCACCTGATCGAATCGGGGCTAGACTCTGCCTCCCTGAATGTGGCTGGAACCATATCATCAACGACCTCCACTGATAATGCATATGCGACCATGACATCATTATACCTAGCTGGCCGACGAATCTCTCTCCTCGGTCTATCTGCTGCAATGGTCCTCTGAACATGACCCTGTTCCTGAGTCCCATGATCTACTGTATCCTGTATCTGCCCATCTGTCATCTCATCTCCTCCCAGTGTCACCTCTGTAGGAGCCTCAATGGATACAGTGTTCTCTGGAGTGGGTGGAGTAATATCAGTCCACCTGCTGCGATATCTCTCCTGTCTGGTCTCCCTCCACCTGCTGAGGGGTTCGAGGCCTCATCATGTACGCCTCGTCAAATGTGACATCTCTGCTAATAACTATCTTCTTGTCCTGTGGATCCCATAACTTGAAGCCTTTGACTCCATCTCTAAATCCCACAAAGACTGCTTTCCTCGCTCTCGGATTTAATTTACCATCACTGACATGATAATAAGCTGGACACCCGAATATCCGAAGCGACTCATAGTCACTAGCCACCGAACCAAACCAACGCTCCAAAGGAGTCTTCCCGTCTATCGCAGTGCACGGCAACCTGTTCACGAGATGGCTCGCATAAACTACTGCCTCGGCCCAAAAAGATCTAGGCAATCCACTCTGTGTCATCATACACCGCACCTTCTCCAGCAAGGTATGGTTCAATCTCTCAGCCACCCCGTTCTGTTGCGGTGTCTCTCGAACTGTGAAGTGTCTTCTAATGCCGTGATCCCGGCAAAACTGCAGAAACGGATCACTCTTGTACTCTCCACCGTTATCTGAACGTAGAGTCTTCACCTTTCTACCTGTCTGCAGCTCCACTTTCTTTTTCCACTCCACAAAAATATCCAGGACCTGATGTTTATGCTTCATCGGGTATACCCAATTCCTCCTGGAATAATCATCAATGAAAGTGACAAAATAGTTGGCCCCACCAAGAGATGTGTTCTTGGAAGGACCCCAAACGTCCGTGTGAATATAATCCAATGTACCTTGGGTGTTATGAACAGCGGTGCCGAACTTCACTCTAGTCTTCTTCCTAAGTACACAATGCTCACACAATTCCATCTTGCAGGTCTTAGCACCTTTCAATAGCCCCTGTTTTGCCAATGACTGTAGGGACTTATCACCTGTGTGTCCAAGTCTCATGTGCCATAAGGTGGTAGTGTCCTCCTCTGTAGTGATAGAAGCTGCCAGACCCCCTGTAACTGTCTTGCCCTTCAAGTAGTATAGGTAGTTTTCCCTGACACCTCGCATCACCACCATAGAACCCTTCGTGACCTTCACTGTTGTATCCTCTAAGATCACTCGATATCCTGCTGCCTCCAAAGTCCCAAGAGAAATGATGTTCTTCGTCAACTGCGGCACGAACCTCACTTCCTTCAATTCCCTCACTACACCATCATGCATCCTGATCCGGACTGAACCAATACCACCAATAGGACATACGTGATCATTACCCATAAGCACGACATCCCCTCTTTCCAGCTCCTCAAAGCTAGAAAACCACTCCCTCTTTTTTTTTGGGATCAATATTGCAGCAACGGCTAGTTCAATATTCAAAACAAAAACACTGTAGCAACGACTAGTTCCAACAACTACCTCAATATTCAAATACGAAACACTGTAGCAACGGCTAGTTCCAAAGCCTTGGAGGCTATAAATTTAACTTGAGGCCTCAAATTTTCCAATGCATTCTCCATTCTCACCAATTTATAAATTCTCATTGTTTGCAATTTGCCTCCCCGACATCAATATGATATCAGAAGAATGCTCCCGAAATTATGAAGTTTATTGCGACTGTAATCTCCGAACACCGATGAAAGTGTGCAAGAATGGTAAAAATAAGGGGAAGGCGTTATTAGGGGTGTGCAAAATTCCCAAATAAAGAATGAAATTTTTTCGAATGGGCTGATGAAAGAGGAGAAATAAGCAACCAAGGAAGCCAATGTGTCAAAGAAAATAGGTACAGAGATAAATATATTTTGCATTCGAAGAGGATGAAGAAAGAATTGAGACTTGTTGAAAATCAACTATTAGCTTGGAAAATTTTAGCAATTTTATTAATAATTTTTTGTATTATTTTAATTATTATAAACTGCATGTCATGTACTTGTTGTTGTGCGCGGCGGAAGCTTTCTAGGGCAACACGAACAATAACTTGAACTAAACCACAAACAATATGCAAACCACAATCACAGCAAGAACACACAATTTACGTGGTTCGGCAAGTTGCCTACGTCCATGGGGCAAGGAGGGGGGAGTTCTTTCTACTAGAAATCAAGAGAATACAAATAGGGTTACAAATCTCTCAGACCAAACCCTAAAACAAAACTCTAGATCTCTCAAAGCTCTCTCATAATTGGATGCAATGATTCTCTCTCTTTGGCTGCTCAAATTCGTCCAACCTCTACTCTAAACAAACAGGTTTAGGTATATATAGAACTTACAAAACGAATCGGGTCGAAAACCTGAAAGCCCAGCCCAAAATAGCGCCGGTCGACCGGACCGGTCGACCGCGATCAATTCCGGTCAACCGGCCCGGTCGACCGACCAGCTCTCAGTAGAAAACCCAAACACCGGTCGACCGAAACACCTGCGGTCGACTGGCCCGGTCGACCGACCTCCTTTCTGTCGCACAGTAAGCTTTGTGCACCAATGCGGTCGACCGGACCGGTCGACCGCCGCCTGGTTTGCCTGATTCTTCTGAGTTTCTGTAATTTCTTCACATAATGGGGTTTAATTGCAACCTCTTGTATTTATTTCCTTCAAACAAGTGTCCCGTTTCGAGCCTTGTCTCATTAAGACAGGGAAATTCCTAGTCAGAGTAGAGAAACCGATATAACAAACACTGTCACTATGAAATATACCAAAATCCCAATTACATAAGGGGGAAAAGCAAGAAAGAAGAAGTGTAAGATTTCATCATTAATTGATGAGCTATATAGTCACATTCCCATCTAGCCAAATTTACATATTTATCAACATTAAACACCAAACAAGAAAAAACTGCCTCCAACTTGATGGACTTGATACCTGAACTGATACATAGGTAATTTCTAACTTACATGTCATCCTCATATCGCTAAGAAATGAAATGATTTATATATATCTAGCTATATGTCACATCCGCTTGTTCTTGAATCTACAGCAGTGTTACACTAATAACCACCATCAGTTGCACGAGAGCTCCACAAGCGCAGGAGGCTAAGATCTCAGCTTGAGAAGAACTTTGCTCTATGTCATCTCTTATAACATTGTTCTTTGAATCAAAATATTTTGCTTGCTCATTATCCTTGCAAATCCTCACCCCAGCAGGACCAACTCCACCTTTGTAACAAAGCCCTGGATTGCCCCAAGATGCAAACCTACTCCCGAGTCTCTCGTAAAATTCTTCAGAGAACCAAATCTCTCCTGAGAGATTGTTTCCGTTGAGATAGAGAGCATTGAGCCGAGGCAAATCTCCGAGCCTTGGAGAGATTGAGCCGGAGAGTTTGTTGTTGTCCAACGCAATGAATCTCAATCTACCCAACCCTTCAATAGAATTTGGAACCTCTCCATTTAAACTTGTATTTGAAAGGTCCAAGTTGTTGAGGTTCACCAACTTCTCCCACCCAAATTCATTCAAACTTGCCCCGATGGGATTGTTTGAGAGAAGCATGTCTTCAAGAGAGATCATTTGTTCAAGGGATTGAATTAGGCCACCACTTAGATTATTGTTCCTAAGATCTAATAGAGTCAAGCTCTTCATATCTCCAAGCTCTTTTGGTAGGCTACCGTTTAAGAGATTGTTGCTTATATCAAGCTTTAAGAGTGAAGTCAATCCACCAAGAGATTGATACAGAGGACCACTGAGAGAATTCCTACTAAGGTCCAATATCAAGAGATTAGCCAAGTTTTTTCCTAGAGAAGTAGGAACTGGACCCGATAGTCGATTTCCAGAGAGCGAGAGCCTCTTGAGATGAACTAGGTTGCCAAGTTCTTGAGGAATTTTTCCAGATATTGAGTTATCTACTAGCACCAAAGATTGGAGGTTCATTAGTTGGCCTATAACTGGAGGAATTTCACCTATAAGGCCTTCGTTTGAACGGAATTCTAAGGTTTCGAGAGTTTGTGATAGGTTATTCCAAGAGTTAGATGGTAACATGGTAGGAGAAGAGAAGCAATTGAAAAAGCTGAGGGTTTTTAGATGCTTGAGTTCAAAGAGGTGAGGGGTGAATATTGCGTTGTGAGAGCACTGAAGGGAGTTTTCGAGGATCGGACCGATGCTTACAGAGGTGACATACCATGAGCCGTTGAGGAAATCACATGATACTCCCTGCATTTAAGAGTTTGAAAAGGAAACGATCAGGCATTTTCAACATGATATGAGACTATCTATGATGAGGGTGACAAAGAAAAAAAACATGATATGAGACTATCCATAATTAAGTATTTGACCCTTGATAGTATCTAAATTCATATTTGCATATTATTTTTACATACAACGATGGCGTATCAACCCGTAATTTAATGTTTTGACTAAACAATCTCCGTTAAAAATTATTTATCAAGAATACTACTCTGTAATCCTAGGCATGCCTGCGATTGTTTTCTGTAATTTCTGTAATGGTTAATGTCGCGGGAAACAACTTAAATAGATAAGTCCTCCATTTTGGCATATTTATGGATGAATAAGGCTCACGTTGTATGCTTTCTTGCCATTTATTCATATGCAGAACAAGATACTTTTGCTACGTAACAAACACTCTTCTTCTGTAATATACAACTACAAAACTTGAATAATTTTCTTTTGAAATAACCAAGGAGTTGAAGTGGAAAATTTCTTTGATGAGTCATTCAAAGTTTGTTTCCAGTGGTATAATCAGTTGTAACCTAGATTGGAATCACCAAAGACCAAGAATGTTCAAATCCAAAAAAAAAAAAAAACCACACCTAATGAGCACCAATACTTTACATTTAAAGCAAATAAATAACTAAACAGAATAAGAATCTGAAAAATGTAATCAGGCAAAAACCTGGATTGGTGTCCACCCACATGGATCTGGATAAAGCCCCGAACCATTCCAACTTCTGCCAACAAAGCCCTGAATCATCAAGTACAGAGCTTGTTGCTCTGTTTTCTCCATTGGAGCTGCTTGGTCATCTGATTCACAAAGTACAAGAGAGAGGAAGAGAAGGAACTGAAGAAGGAAAACAAACTTAGTATTCATTTTTCTCCCTTCCATTTGTAAGTTTGAACAGAGAGGTTAAGAAGTGCATGAATATATAAAAGAAGCAGTAGGAAAGAGAACCCAGAGACTAGACTATTAATTAGAGGGTGTTTAAGGATTGACACTTGAGAAGAAGCATGGTTCTCAACATCTCATGAAGCTAATAAGGTGGGCTATTTATTAAGCCTTTTGGTTGAAATAGATAGAATGAATGAAGAAAAGAATCCAAGGTTAGGTTCTTTAACACCCTATCATTTAGGTATCAAAGGAGAAGGGAATTTAATGTTTTTTTTTTGAGAATTTAGAGGGGAGAGTGAGGAGGTGGAGAACTTTCTACAGTGAATTTTAAAAGGTAGGGGCCAAACCAAAAAGAGAGAAAGAAACAAAGGAGCTGAGGATGGAAATCTTGAGTTGGGTTTCCTCAAGAGCACAAGAAAAAGAGGTGAGCAGGGGTTTATTTGTAGAAAATGACAGAGGATCTATGATGGTATTCATTGGAGAGGGTGGGTGGTAGTACTAATGACTATGTAGTAAGAATGAGAGGGATGTGGTACTTTTGGGGTAGTTATCATTTATTTATTATTTATTTAATTTTTTACTCCTTAATTTCCTACCTTTTCCCTCTTTTAATTCTTTTGAGTTTAATTTTAGAGAAATAGATCTTAAGGAGACAGGGAGGGGGGGAAGGTTGAAGGAATTAGCTAGAGCTTTTGTGTCTTGTTGTAGGGGACCAATATTCTCATGCATGTGATTGGGTGAGCTGCATTGAGAGCATAATGCTTATTGCTTACCTTTTTCACTTATATTTTGCCATTTATAAATACTGCCACTTTTGCATTTCTATTTCTCATGCTTTCTGCTTAGGGGCTGTTTGGTTCGCTATTATAAGGGGTGGAAAACTCAGAAAACCCCTCCACGTCAGATTTTTAGCCCTCCACGTCAGTTTTTTTGTTTCCGTCCATTTCTTTGTGCCGCTTTGGTTCGCTCGAATGGAAGAGGGAAAACTCTGCTGAAATCGCCGCCAACTAAGATTTTTTTCCCTCTCCGATTTCCTTCCCCAACCAAGTGAAATTGATGAAAACTCTGTCACGTCAGATTTTTTTCCTTCTCTGCTTTGTTTACAAAAGCTTTCCTTTTTTTTCTATGCGAACCAAACACAAGAAAAGTAAATACATTGGTTTCCCACCATTTTTTATGTGCGAACCAAAGCAAAACAATCTATTTCTTGGAAAAGTTTGAAAAACTCAAAACTTGTGTTTCTTTACATGAAATTGCATTTCTCTATATCAAGGAAACGAACCAAACAGCCCCTTAATGAAATTATACTGTGCTCCTCCTAGAAAAATAAATTCATGAAAATATCTTTTTCTAAGAGTTTACTTTTGAGAGTGAACGTGTAATGTGTATGTTGGTTAAATCTTTTTCGTGAGGTTTGTAAGCATAACTGCTATTGCTAACTTGTCATATCAAAAATTTCTTCTAGTTTCAACGGCAAACTATCAAAGGTAGTTGATTCTCAGCAGTGATATTGATCAGTTTGAAACTATACAGACGTAATTAAGAACCTTTTTTTTTGACAAGGGAAACCTGGTCAGCTCTCCCAACAATAACTCCTTTGGAGTCCGCCAGCGGCCCTGGTTCGAATCCCTCAGGTTCCCACTTTCTGAAAGGAGTTACCCTTGCTACCAGGAGCTCATCCCCACATGAATGGGCGATCAGCATGGGACCCTGAAGGTCTCGAACTGGTGAGCATACAACGGGTTGGGTTAACTGACCAGTAAAACCTCGAGTTTTTGCACCCACCCTTAATCCCACAGAAACCAGGTGAATGCGGAAGCGGGGATTTGAACCCCTGAACAACTAGGGAGATCTCCTCCCTCACTCTTCGTGGCGCTAGCCAGAAGTCCCAACCCGCGGGTGGTCCTAATTAAGAACTTTGGTACTATATAAATATAAAATAATCTTCTAACTTGGTGCTGAGCCATGTGCATATAGTAAAAATTTAGTTGAGCAACAGCTAGGATTTATGGGTGGAGCAAGCATGTGGTAGACCTCATCCACCCATGAGTAGACAATCAACACAAAGGGTAGCTCTTAATTGCGAAACAGGACAATAATCATGTTGATTTTGTTAGGTGCCTTCCTCTCTTCATGTTCTCTCCATAACTGTTACGCATAGATATATGTATTTCTTGGGTTATGAAAAAGATTCAAAATCCAGCATGGGTAGTTTGGGAATGAAGAGCAGCACCTTTTGCCATCGGAACCTAATGAGAGGCTATCTAACTATTGAAGAATTGAAGTAATGAAGGGGGAAGGGGACCATGCCAAATCCCACAGTCATAGACAGTGACGGAAGCTTCTCTTCAATTTTAGGATTTATAAGATAGAAAAAATAAAAGATGGCATTTTAAAGGTATATTTCACATTGTCACCCCAAACTTTGGCTCATTATGAGAAAACCCTTAAACTTATAGATGCCACTTAATCCCCTAGCCTTTGGATCCTGTCATTAAACCACCCACGTGTTTGCAATTTATTAAACATAGCTTCTCTAATGGCATAATAGGGGCCTTCTGAAGCTTTATTAAAAGTTCATTTGTGGGTGGGGGGTGTTGTATGAAAGCTAGGTTTAAAGTTTGAGTTTTCTAAAAATCATGTTGAAAATTTAGGATTTTTTGAAATTAGTTAGGGGTACATTAAAAAATAAGAGGTTACACAGTCAGGGGTATTCTTGAAAAAAAAATGAAACTTTTTAAGGGG